TGAACCACTCATATAAATTTCTATTTATACTGAGAAATGTCCAAAAGCAACAGGTTTCGGGGGGTTTTTTGGGTGTTTTTTTTTGTTTGTTTGTTTGTTTGTTTGTCTTTTTGAGACATGGTCTCGCTATGCAGTTCAGGCTGGACTTTAACTTACTTTATAGCCCAGGCTGGTCTCGAACTTGCAAGGATCCTCCTGCCTCAGCCTCCTGAGTGCTGAAATTACAGGCATGAGCCACCATGCCCGGCAAGCAACAGGTTTCATAATCTATAAATTTGTCAACAGTGACCCCATGCATAGGCGACAAAGCCTTTGAAAATAACACCAGGTCACTGTGTGAGCTCAGGTAACTTAACAAAGGCATTCGACCAATGCATGACAGGCCAAGGCTTCAACACAGGTCTTCAACTTCACGTCTCAGGCTCTTCCACTCATTCCAGGAAGTCAGGCTGGCCGGGTGAGGTGAAAATAACAAGCAGCCGAAGGCCCCCAAGTCACCCCCAGAGACAAGGTGCTGTCAAGGGTCTCCAGATGGGCTGCTAATTCACCCAAAGGCAAATGTGGACCCACATGAGCCGCATCACTGAAAGGAGCAGGGCTTTGGAACTCTTGCTTCACAAGGGCAGTACGAGCAAGTTCAGCATGTAAAACAAACACACATGGAACCGTCCTGCTGGAACACAGCTCTCCCAGAACCCTCTGCCCACTCTCTGCTTCTCAAGAGAACTGGGATCTGCAGAACAGTCAGGAAACCTTGGGACCGAATCAGCAGCATGGCACTATCTTGAGGAAACCTCTTAGAAATGTGAATTCTTTGGCCCCATCTAAGGTTTATTTATTAGTCAGAAAAAATCTACAGGTGGAGCTTGGCAACCTGTGTTTTAGCATCATCTCCAGGTGCTTCTGAAGCCTGAAAACGTTGATAAACAGGGGACAGCTCTGTCTTGGTGAATGAGGAGGGGAGACCACCTGCTTTGAAAGAACATTCGAGTTTGGGGCTCGGGGCTCAGAGGGGAAATTGGGAGGCCTCCTCTCAGACAGCAGAGATGAGTGAGGAGCAGGAAGACCCGATCAGGGCTAGACGCTGCTGCTGGACACTCATTCATCAGAGGCCCCAGAGTAGGACACAAGAGACTGGGCAGGAAGGTGTCGCACCTGGTTGAGACTCCTAAAGCAAAGGGGGTGTGGTGGGCCTCACTGAAGTGGTTGGTCCTGCAGGGACCAGCATCCTGGTATAAGGAGGGAGTGGGCTCAGTGGATGGGGGAGAGTGGGAGGGAAGAAGTACGGGCTTCTGTAAGGGCATGGAGATAGAGAGTTCATATATTTGCAATCCCTGTGCTGAGAAAATCCTGAGTTTACATTCAAGCCCAAGACCTGACTCTCCTTCCTGTTTCACTGTTAAACTTGTATTTCAGAATTGCTATGGCTTGGATCAAAAATGTCCCCCAAAGGGTCATGTGCTAAAGGTGGGGCTTTTGCTCCCAGGGTTCTAACGTCCTCAGCAGACTAACCCATTGATGAGTTCACTAGTCCATGTGCTATTAGTAGGCAGGTCATGTGGCAGAGGGTGACATGGAAGGGTATATTCTTATCCCTGGATCACAGGCTGGAAGAGACACAGGAGCTTGTATGGCCCATTTCATAAAGACACAGAGCCCATCTGTGAAAGCTCTACTCCTATGACCTCACGGACCCCCCACACACTCCACTTCTGAAAGCATATTGGCTGTCCTCCTGGTGTCTAACATGAAATTCATATTTTATTTTCTGGCTCTTCTGATTCTGATACAAAGATACTAATTCAGTTAGAATGTTTATTGAGTTTCTACTGTGAGTGGGCAGTATCTGACAATAAACATTTTAAAATACAGCAAGGTGTAATTCCAGTTGCTCTTTGTCTTAGTTACTTTTTTCTCATTGCTGGGTCAAAATGCTGGACACCCAAAGTGTAAAGTGGAAAGGTTTATTCGGTTCACAGTTTGTGGAGGTTTCAGTCTGTAATCGGCTGGCTCTCAGGCAGAATGGCATGGCAGAGGGGCAATCATTCATGGCAGTAGAAGAAAGCAAAAGCAAGGCAGAGAGGGCACCTTCCAGCCTGTGAGCACACAGCTAGGAGGCCCCACTTATGAGAAAGGAGACCTCCAGAACTAAGAAAGATCCATTTCAGTGATTCACAGGCTACTGCGTTCATGACATTTTATTAGAGAAATACAGTTTTACACAATTAACCAGGTAGCAGAGCAGAGGGTAGACCCCAGGCTCAAAGTTAACCTCAGCTACTATGAAGATTTCTACAGTATATGCTACAGGCATCTGCTGACTGCTTCCCCCAGTCCATTCCTTCTCTTTTCCCTCCCTCCCTCGCTCTTTATTAATACTCTGTGGTTTCCCACAAAGCGGTCCAGGTGGAACTCACTGTAGCCCCAGCTCACGGCTGAGCTCCCACTGGTGTAAAGCCTTAAACCACTCAGAATTGCTCTTCCCCAGATCCCACAAAGGATGCACACATAATCCAGCCATGGCTTTTGTCCGTGTGTGTTCCATGAAGATTTCTAGGGCAGACTGTTGCGTTCCTCTTTGCAACTCACCCAGGAAGAATACCCCCAAGGACTGTTGACAGCCATGCTGGGCCCAGGAGAGAAAGGAAAAACCATGAAGGAGACACGAGGGCCAGGTCCCTGTGTTTGGGCTCAAGCTTAAGACCCGTTTCCTGCTTAATTTCCTGTTTCTGCTTCCACCAGTTTAGGACCTGCTTTCTTTCACGGGCAATAGCAAGGTTGAAAGCGGTCCTCAGAGGAAAAAGAGCAAAGTAAGCACCTATATGACCCGGCACTTAGGGTGAGGTATCGGTTTAGGGAAAAGAGAGGAACCAGAAGCGGCAGGAGAGGCAGCCACGAAAGAGTGGGGTTAGTGGGGGGCAGGAGCCGAGGAAGAGGGTACGGCCAGCCTCGAGCTTTCACCTGAAAGAACAATGCACACCCACTGGTCTGTCCTGACCCCAGCTCTGGTTAATAGCACTGCCTGCCCCCTAGGGATGCCGAAGGCCCCCAAGTCACCCCCAGAGACAAGGTGCTGTCAACGGTCTCCAGATGGGAGCTGGTCAGCAAGGAGAAAGGCAGCACAGGGAAAGGGTTGCTTGAGCAGGTTCGGGGAATATAAAGCTGAGCAAAAAAAAGTCGGGGGTGGGGGGTGGAGACTGGGAGGTTGTGACAGATTTTTAAATGTGGAAGAAAAGAGAGGACCTGGACAGAGACCCGGAGTCCAGGAGGGCGACGAGAGGTGGTGGCTAAGAGCGCCAGTGGACAGCTGCTCAGCCGGAGCTCTGAGTTGGTTTCTGGGAGGAAACAGACCCAGTCCTGACCCTCCCGCAGGGCACCCAGCCTTGTCCCTCTCTCTGAACCGCCTCTCCTGGTGTGTAAAGGAGCACAGCGCCCCCCACCCCACAGGAGCGAATACCTGCAAGGCTCCAAAAGCCTAAGCCGGGGAAGGCCCTGGCAAGTCTTCCTGGGAGTGAGCATTCATTACAGGCAATCAGAATAATAAGAAAGAGGGACGCAGGACAAGAGAGGGCAACACTAAAACCCTGCTTTGCTTAGATCCCGCCTCTCCTGTAGTGAACAACGTGTATGTGACTGTACAGAAGCAGTGTGAAGAAAAATTCAAAGGGAACTCTCTGCCCTTGAGAGAAATGGAACCCTGTGACGCCAGAGCATGGTGTGACTTCTCCCACGGGAGAAGCCCACGGCGTAAATAATTTAGGGAGCAAAGAGAAGACAGGCAATAGCAGGCAGGGAGATAGATCTTTGGTGAGAGGAAAGGGGACCAAGAGATGAAGGGAGGAAGGAGAGAAGGGGGACAGAAAGAATTAAGATGTGTTATGCACGTGTGCCTGCTCCTCATGACCCACCTCATCACCATGTACCACAGACAAGCACCAATGAAAACAACATAAGCAATAAATGCAACTTTAAGAAAAAGAAACGGCTTTTGAGCAATGCCATAACATTTGTTTATCTCCTCTGGACCATGCTTGTTCCTCGACAGAGTCACTTAGCAACTGGACTGAGAGCTCCTCCTAAAACTTCAGGGAGACAGGGAGAATCCTGCCACAGGACAAACTGAGATAACACCAGAGCTTGACTGGGTGCGCAGACCCATGGCAACGCCTCTTGCAAAATCCAGGCTCCTAGTGGACAGTCAGGCAGTAGCCATAGCTGGGCTGAGCTGCAAGTGACCTCCCCGGGACATCCGTTCACCCCCCGCAGGCGCTTATCCCGCTGAGCTAAATCCCCAGTCCCTCACCCCCAAGCTTTCACCACAGCAAGAGACGTAACAGCCAGGCGGGACGGGGCGGGGCGGGGCGGGGCGCGATCTGAGAAATTAAGAGGTGGGGAAGGCCCTCAGGACGGGGAGGAGGGGGGGACAGGTGGGCGCTGGCTTGGCACATATTAGTAAATGACTTTCGCATTTGTAAGGTACACGGTGAAACCAAACACTACGATGAATATTTACTTTTTAAAAAGTGACCACAGTAAAACACATGGCCACCAACCCCTCAAAGCATTCTCCTGGCTCTGAACGCACGGCCGGGCGTTCGTGGCAGTGCGTCTTCCCCGGGTTTTTGTCGGACGGAAACATCCGCCTCAATCCGCGATCGCCCCCGCGTTTCACGGGTAACACTGAGTCAAGCCCACCCGCCCCGCTCGGCTGCCACTGCAGGTCTCTCCAGTGTCCTCAGCAGCCGCCGTGCGCGCCCAGGTCACCGACTGACCCCGGGCAGTTCAGAGAGCCAGAGCGCGCTGCGGTCACCTCGCAGGACCCACGCTACGCACGGACGCAGGCGGAGACCTCGAGCTGAGGGCGCGGCCTGACTCCGGGGTACACTGACCCCCGGCTCTGCAGGCTGAGCGGGGACGCAGGGCGGGGGCGGGGGCCGGGGGCGGGGACCGGGAGGCCGGGCCGGGCGGGCCGGAGCGAGTGGGCGGGTCGTCGCGCCCAGGTCGTGCTCCGCGCCGCACTCCGCCGCACCTGTCGCTTCCCGCCGCCCGCCGCCCGCCGCCCGCAGCGCGCCGCTAGCCTTCTGTCCGTGCGCCCGCGTCCCCGCCGCCCGCATGCTGGCCGCCGTCTGCACCGCGCTGGCCGGGCTGCTGCTCGTGCCGCTGCTAGTCACCCTGTGCTGCCCCTACCTCTTTCAGGACTTGAGCTACTTCGTGCTCGTGGCGGGGCTGGTGCGGCGGGTGCGCAGCTACGGGCGGAGGCGCCCGGCGCCCACCGTGCTGCGCGCCTTCCTGGAGCACGCACGGCGCACCCCACACAAGATTTTCGTGCGCTGCGGGGACGAGACCCTCACCTACGCGCAGGCCGACCGGCGCAGCAGCCAGGTGGCGCGGGCGCTGCACGGCCTCGGCCTGCGCCAGGGCGACTGCGTGGCCCTCTTCATGGGCAACGAGCTGGCCTACGTGTGGCTGTGGCTGGGGCTGATCAAGCTGGGCTGCCCGATGGCCTGCCTCAATTACAACATCCGCGCCAAGTCCCTGCTGCACTGCCTCCAATGCTGCAGCCCCAAGGTGCTGCTGGCCTCTCCAGGTAAGCCGGCCGCGCCCTGGTACTGTACTGTCGGGGGAGGGGGCATCGGGGGACCCGGCGCGCAGGTGGGTCCGCACGGTGGCCTTGCAACACTACTGAGTGATCGCTAGAGTTGCCTGTTGGAGCAGTGCCGTGGGCACAGTGCTGAGCCCCGCAGCCCATGTTCTCACCCGAGGAGGAGTAAGGTCTCGGACCGCGCAGAGACCCACATGCGCGCATACCCAGGTCACTCGTGTAGAGCTGTGCATAGCCTGAGCGAGTCCTACACTTTATTTTTTGTACCAGGAATCAAGCTGAGGACCTTGTGGTTGCCAGGTAGGCGCTGAGCCGCTGAGCTACATGCTGGGCCTACTACACTTTATAAATTATCTCTCCATGCCTGTAACAGCTAATGCAGCGTAAATGCTGTGTAAATGATTGTGACACAGTATTGTTTAGGGAACAGGTCAAGAAAAACTGTCACAGTCTGGATGCATCGAGCGAACGCGGTTTCTTGAGCCTCAGATTGTCCACCCAGTCTGGGTTGAGTCCGCAGAGTCTGAACGCAGAGGCAGGCAGGGCCCTCTGTGTGTGCCATGTAGCTTTGGAGCCTAGCAGGTGGGGGTTCCGGGATCTCTTGCAGATGAGATCCCTGATGCCCAGAGAGCTTAAGCCGCATGCCTTTGGGATGCGCATGGCCCATGAGGGACAGAGCTGTCCGTCTCCGTGGTCTTTGCTCTTCGGCAGTCCTCACACCTGCACTAACACGTAGACCTCAGTGTGCCCTCGACTGGTTAGGAAGAGACAGGGCTCACTCCTGCTGCCTGACTGGTCTTCTACCATGGGAAGGTCGAATTCCTTCTCTGCCCCTTAGTGTCCCTGGTGTCGCCCAGCCATCTTCAGGACAACATCCAGCTGCCCATTGCTGCTGGCATCCCTGGCTCCCACTGCAGACAGCGGGTGCCCCTGCCCCCACCACCAAGGAAAAGACTTCTGGGTCTGCTGAGGGGCCTTTGGGAGCCCCTCTGTGTCTATAGAAACAGTGACCCATTCACATGTGTGGTGACCTTCTACCACGGTTCAAGCAGACCCTGAATGATAACATGGTGCTCAAGGGGTCCCAAGCCTGGCAGAAACAGAGACAGTTACCCCAGGGTGGATGGCATCCCTTGCAATAGCCTGTGTCTGTGCGGGATAGCTTCCCCTCCAGCAGAGCTTATCTCTGGACCAAGGGTAGCTTTTCTCAATCAGTAAAAGTGGGCCAAGAGACAAAGGTGACTGGGTAAGGCAGAGGGAGCTGGGCAGACCTACCTTTTTGGAATGCCTTTTGGTGCCAAGCCCTATACAGATGTTTTGTTGCCCTGAGAGATGCGTATCATCCCTCTAACCCCTTATACAGCCAAGGAGCCTGAGGCTCAGAATTCCACACTAGGTCTGTCCAACCTCACAGCATAAGTTCTCTCTTCTTCCATCATGCTGTCTGCTCCCCGCCAGGAAAGGGTTTAGAGGTGAAAGAGATCCACACCCGTCTAGTCTACACCTGCTCATTTCATAGCTGAGGAGGCTGAGACAGGACAAGCCTTTGGCCTGGCGCACCAGAAAGGTGAAGTGTCGATTCACGGGGAGGAAACCAGGAAGATTACGCCTCTGTGGCACAAAATAAACAATCCCGCAAATGCGTGGGCTTCCTCTAAAGATCTGGAAGTGAATGATGACTTGAGAGGTGGTCAAATTATTTGAGGGCCATGGTCCTTTCAGGACAATCCCTAACAATGAAGAAAGAGCTGGGAAAAGATAACTGCACTGCTTAGGAACTGGCAGACTCTCTTAAGCCTATTATCCTCCCGTTTTCCTTCAAGGGACGTTGTTAAGGCAGTGATCTTTGTTCCACTCCTGGAGGCATTTTATTGGCTCCTTAGTAATTGCAGAATCAGTCACTTTCAGAGGGACTGCATAGGCCTGGAGCTGAATTGAGAAAAAAGCTCAGAATTAAATGACTGTAATAAAAATTGTTTCTGTAAGAAAGTACAACTAGACACAGGCTGAGTATCTCTTATTTGGAAAGTTTAGAACAGAAATGTTTTGGTTGGGTTTCTGAATTTGTTTTTTGGTTTTTTTTTTTTTTAGATTTTGGGATATTTGGACATAAAGCATGGGATATTTGCAATTAGAGTCTAACCCTAAAACTTATTTATTTTTATATATCTCTTATAGATACAGTCTAAAGATCATTTTATACAATTTTTTGCACGACACACAAGTTTTGTGGTGTGAACTTCTCCATGGGTGGCATCATGTTAACCCTCAAAAAGCTTGGGTCTTGCAATACTTCTGCTATTTGGATTAGGAATTTGCAAACTGCACTCCCTTTCCTGTCCAGTTCTGTCCCCTAAAGTGTATGACCTTCCTACATTCAAGTGAGACTTGAGCCAGACTTTCCAGTGGCCTGGAGCACTCCCTAGAAATTAATTGTCCTCTGAGAAAGGCCACATTTTTAGAATTTTTTTTTGAGTTTTTCTGTATCACTGAGACACATTTGCACAGGAGGTATAACTACATTTGAGCCTAAAGTATCCCATGGCAAAGAAAACAACACAAAGTCCAAAGTTGCTGGTCTCAAAGATGAGCCTATGTGGTAATATGCAAACTAACCTTTGAGAGAATCTGCTCCTTTGAAAACACTCATTTTTTTCCACATTTCTGTGCACTTCAACCTGGAACAGTTACCACCAAGAGAGGTGAGAGTCCAAGTCAGGTCCTAGTAGATATGCCCATGGGGAAATGTCTTGAATGGGCTGACTTTTAGAATTCCTTGGAGTTGGAAGATATTTTACAGATACTCTAAACCTGTTATCTTATAATTTAAATGAATGCTGTTTTGTTGCCAAAAAAAAAAAAGCTTAGAAAAGAAACTTTTATAAGCAGAAAAGCATCAGATACAAAATAGCATCATTATACAAAACAGATCTGAATGCTGTCTCAAAATGCCGCTTTCACAGATCTAGTGCAGGACCCCAAGAAGCATCCCCTCACCCCACTGAGTTTGAAGCCAGTGGTCTCAGAGCAGGCTCTGAGAATCCATCCAGGTTCCACCTGTTTTATAGCTGAACAAGGACCTGGAGGAATGAGATCAATGCTGGGTCAGCAGTAGAGAGCTGGGAACAATCCCAGATTTTGTCTCATTTCCAGGGTATTTTTTATTCTGTCCAACTGTCTGAACCTGGCTGGTTCATAAAGGTGAATTTGATCACATTTTTGAATTTTAGTTACAGGACTTAGTATGTGCGTCAAATTCTGGCCTTTTTTTTTTCTTTCTTTCTTTTGGTCTTTTTGAGACAGAGTCTCACTATGTAACTCAGGCTGGCCTTGGACTCACTTTGTAGCCCACACTGGTCTTAAAATTGCAGCGATCCTCTTGCCTCAGCCTCCCAAGTGTGGGGATTACAGGTGTGGGCCACCACACCCAGTTTGGAATGTTTCTAAGTAAAAGAACAGCACAGTGACATTTATCACGAGGACTGGTCCCGTCATCATGACTTCTGGAAGCTATTTTTGAGGCTCAGTCCTATCAGAAAACAGTACCTATGTGCTCCTTCCAAATTTATGATACACACAGAAAGTGAGAGTTCACAGATCCTTCCCCAAGTCAAACCGAAATCTCAGAGGATACAATTTCTTATCTCCTGTGCATTCCAGGAGCCTTCTCCATGGTGGGGAATAACCTGGAACAGTTGTGTCTGGTGTTGTGAACCCGAAATCAGTGTTGTGGTTGATAGAAGCCAACTCATTGGCCCAGTTGTTTTTCATACAACTTCTCAAGCATGGGGTTTGCATAGAACAGGGAAGCATGTTGAATTTTACACGTCAGATTTTATAAAAACACCCAAACGAGGCTTGAAACAGTGCATTTATCTATTTCTGCTTATGCTTTCATCATGGTCATTGCTAAACTAACTCTGCTACTGGATGGGTGACATAGTTCCCCCGAGAACCCCTTCATCTGCTCCCTGGCCTGTCCCTGTGGGGCCCCCACTGTGAGGGCACAAGGAAGACTTCCGTGGAAGTGAAAGCCACACTGTCAAAAGGACGCACTTTAATAATGAGCATTCTTTTCTTTTCTTTTTGTCTTTTTGACACAGGGTCTCGCTATGCATTTCAGGCTGGCCTTGAGCTCACTTTGTAGCCCAGGCTGGTCTCAAACTCGAAAAGATCCTCCTGCCTCAGCCTCCTGAGTGCTGGGATTACAGGTGTGAGCCACCCGCCCTGCTAATAATGAGCGTTCTTTGAAGCCAAATACTGAAAAGCGGTGCCCACCTGGGATCCCAGCACAGAGGCAGGAGGATTGTTGAGAGTTCGAGTCCAGTCTGGGCTAGAAAGGGAGCTCAAGGCCTGAGCTGCACAGCAAGACTGTCTCAAAAAGATAGAAAAAAAGAAAGAAGGAAGGAAGGAAAAAAGAGAAAGCGATTACCCAAAATAGAGAAACTGACCCGAGGACTGGTCAGAGGCAGCCAAGGCAATGATTTAGACCGGACCCAAGGCACAGGGGTAGCATCACCCCACTCTCCTCTCCAGGCCGCCCAAAGCATAGCTTTGACCAATCACATTAGTGCACTTTGTCTCAGAGGCTTCGTTCTCTCCCCGTGGGCTGAGGTTCCTGTGACTCCCTGGGAAGGACTCTGACTGCCACCACCCTAGCTGGCCACCTCAATCCTCTGGCCTCCCGCTGTGCTCCCACATCTGCCAAGGGTGGACAGTCGCAGTTGGACAGGCCCTGCAAGAGTGCAGCGCTGCGCTGCAAACTCCTATCGTTCTTCAGCCTTGGCAGGCGACCGCCACTCCCTGTTTTCTCGAGTGAGTAACCCAGCCCCTTTCCCCAGAAGTCTCCCCTTCAAAAGTCCCACATTGGCTTTTCTTTTCACAGCTCTGTCTATGCCCATGACCCTGAAAAAAGACCTCACAGCCCGTACAGGAGTTACCAGTCTGGTCTGCAAGCCAGGGTGGTCTCTCTCAGGTCCGTTTGAAGTGAACCTGTCCTGTGCGCTCAAACCTTTGCTTTTTTCTCTCCTTTTCCTAACACCAAGCACATAGTAGGCCACCAGAAACTGTTTGTTGTGTTGAATCCATGGTTCTGCCTTGGTCGGTTTCTTCCAATACTCAAGAATCGTTAAATTGGGCATGAGGGCAGAAAAATGACATACTATGACATTTATAAAATGACATATTTAATAAAATCAAATATCCCCTGATGTGGTAAGAATCCGATTGAAGTTAATCTCCCTGGACCAAGCCTCACCATAGCAGACCTGGCTGACCTCCTGAGGGTCCTTCTAGTGTCCAGCCCCTCCAACAGTGGACTCGCCATGGAAAAGAGACGGCCTCCCCAGGCTGGATGAAAAGGGGAGCAGGTGGTGAGCATGGAACGGGCCAAGACCCCACTGGGATCTGCACACAGCATGGTGGGGGACTCTCAAAGGTGGGACATACTCTCAGACATCATGTGAGTGAGATATTCAAGGACTCAGAGTCCCAGCTCAGTAGCCAGGGCACAAATGGGGAGCTTGTGCTCTGTAGACTCGAGAAGGCGGTAGAGAGGTGAGAACAAACACACTCCAAATGTGTTGTCAGTGTTATGAAATTTGAAGAAGGATACAGATTATTGTGTGTCAGGAGTGTAAACAGCAATTGTGTGAAAGAAGGACAGAAGGACTTGGTAGAGAGAGGACACGGTGGCTTAGGGCTATCATATACTAACAATTATGTGAGGCCTGGTGCAACCTGGTGTGACCCAGTAACCCTTAGTTCCAGGGCTCTTTAGAAAACCAGCGTTCACATAAGCAAGAACCTTATCGAAGGGTAATGAGAAATAATATCAAGTAAATCTTTTTGTTTTGTTTTGCTTTTTGTTTGGGGGAATTTTTTTTAAAGACAGGGTCTTGCTTGCAGTTCAGACTGGCCCAAAACTGCCTTTGAACTCATAGAAATCCTCCTGGCTCAGCCTGCCAAGAGCTGGGATTACAGGCATATGCCACCATGCCCAGCTCAAGTAAGTTATTTAATTACATAAATGTCATGTGAGTATGTGTTTCACTGTTAAACTTTTACTTGCTCCTGTTGGAATTTAACCTTCCATGTATTTTTGGCTGAGAGTGGCTTGTTTTGTGTAGGAAGGGGACCATATGTGCAGGTCTCTATTTGAAGAGAGTTCTAGTGCATCGTCTTGTGGTATGGACCAGACAGTATATCACTAGATATCATTGTTCCAAACTTGTAGTGGTGGTCACAGTCAGCTAGAGATGCCGTTGTGAGGGTTGTGTTAGCATTAGTTTGTGTTTCAGTTTTGTTGTGGTTTGGTTAGTGCACTGGTTGATGGATTGGTTGATCTTTTGCTGTCGGTTGGTTGATTGGCTGGCTGGTTGGATGAGTGGATGGATGGATGGATGGATGGATGGATGGATGGATGGATAGGTGGATGGATGAATGGATGAGAGGGTGGATGAAGTAAGGAGATAAACATCTCCATTACTGCCTTGTTCATCCACAGCTATTTCCCATTCATCCTGACATTTTGGTCAGTAGATTAACCCAGATCTTCACCTACCTTCTTCCCCTGCTTTCCAGGAAAAGCCGTTTATTCCGATCTCTCATTTTTACTCCTCAAAAAGCCTGCGGATGGCAGAGGGGATAATGTCCTATCTCAGCTTTTTCTTTTTAATTTTTTTGAACAGAAAGACTTGGGTAGGGATGTTGTAATCATTCAATTTTCCATCACTCCAATGTGATCACAATTTAAACTTAGATTAATGGGAATCCCTAAGTCTCCTCTATGGCCCTTAAGACAACTTTTCAGGAACTCTGTTGTTTCTCATTCCAAAACTTTCAATAAAGCCTGAGATTATGCTGTTCATCAAAAAATTAAAGTAAAATAAAAGGTTCCTATGCTTTGATAAGCACAGGGCAGGTCCAGTAGACAAAAGGATAAAGATGTTTTACCAAAGCTTGAACCTAAATGGCTGCCCAGCGATGTAGGAAGCCCAGAAGCCCATCGGGTTGTCTCATAGAGTGGTCCTAGGTGGCATGTTTCAGAGCCTGCTGATTTTCACCTTTTGTACTGCTTGATTTATTTCTACCAAGCACCTCGGTGCAAAAAATGTTAAAACTCTAAGTGCATCTGTTCCAGTGATGTGTCTCATCTGGAAAACAGCAGACGCAGTGAACCGGGTCTCATCTCTCTGTGGGAGCTCCCGGGGTTACTGAGTTGCTTTCCGGTTAAGAATGAGCTTGTGCACTGCATTTATTACAAGTCCTGATGAGTACATTTCAAAGGAGTCTCACCTTTGGATTAGGAGCACAAAAAATCCAAGCAGCAAAGAGAGGATGAGAACTTTGAAAATGTTTTGGCCTGGCCTAGGATGGAGTCATCTGTGTCTGACCCAGGACCCATGTGCCTACAGAGCTATATTAAAACTTTTAAAAAACAGTACTTAGCTCTAACTGTGTTGGCTATGCCTGAAAATGTCTGCTGCATTCTATTTAAATTTGTGATAATATTGGTCGGTTCAGATGACCTCCATGCACCTCTGTATTGGGACGTACAGTTTGCCAACACTGCTCCGAATTAATCAGTCCCCTTTTTTTTCTAGATCAGAGGAAAGGCTTAGGAAATTTAGGCTTATTTTTCCTTGCAGCTAAATTGTCCTAGTGGAACTATGTATTTTTGAGTATTATTGATGGGTTAAAAAAATGTGTTCTACAAATGTGGCTTCTCATCGTTGCTGGTTATCATGTCTTTTTCTTCCAGTTCTCTTTTTCCTTCAAAATTCTCCTTTTTTAAAACTTTCTGATTCTTCAGGGCACATACCAGGTATAGTATATTCATTTCCAGTTTAATTTATTAGCTTTATACCGGTTATGTATATAGGTTAGACACGCACATGCCTCGGTTTCTATCTACATATCCATTTGTGCAAATTCACCATTAAAAGGAAAGGTTTCAACCAACCCTTTGCCTTGCTTTTAAAACCATCAAAACTCAGCCTTTCCTCAAATGATCTTGCAGTTTGTTTTCTCATGCAGCAAATTCTACATGAAAGGGCCCAGCACTGAAGATATCACTTTTTCTGTCCACACATTTTAGCAAAAGTTGGGCCGAACACAGAATGATCTTGAAACTTGTGGCACTACATAGAAACTTAATGGGCTGATTCATTTGTTTGGATTTTTATTAAATGAAGAACTGCAGGACGCTGTTGAAGAGGTGCTACCCAGCTTGAAGAAAGACGGGGTGTGTGTCTACTATGTCAGCAGGACTTCGAGCACCGAGGGGGTCGACTCATTCCTGGACAAAGTGGATGAAGTGTCGTCAGAACCCATCCCAGAGTCCTGGAGGTCTGAAGTCACTTTTTCTACTCCTGCTTTGTACATCTACACCTCTGGAACCACAGGTAAAGAAAACAAACCCAAGATTTGCAAGAAAGAGAGCTACCCAGAAGGAGTTAAATATTGGCTTAGGTTTTAAATATTCCCTTTCTCTGGCAAAACTTATCTGATAACTAATACTTCCGGGGATTTAGCCCTTTGCCTGTGGGAACTGATCTTATTTCATTGCAAGAGATGTTATGCTGGTTTCTCCCAGCGAGGCAGACTTCCCCACAATCCCTGTAGAACAGATAAAGGAGTTAACCAAGAATTGTGGCCAGGTACAGTAGCGTACATCTGTGATGCCAGCAACTCGGGAGGCTGAGGCAGGAGAACTGCAAGTTCAAGTCTAGTTTGGGTAATTTAGTGAGACTTAGTAGACCTCACCTCAAAATAAAAACTAAGGGGCTATGGATGAGGCTTGGTGAGGTGGCAGCGCATGCCTGTAATCCCAGCATTCAGGAGACTGAGGTAGGAGGATCACTGTGAGTTCACTGTGTGCTGACAGCCTGGGCTACAAAATGAGTTTGAGGCCAGCCTGAAGGGCATAGTGAAATCCTGTCTCAAAAACCCGGGGCTGGGGATTTAGCTCAGCGGCATAAGCACCTGTCTTACAAGCAGGCAGTCGTGAGTTTGATCCCTGGTACCAATAAAAAAAAAAAAAAGACAAAAAGACCCTAACTGTCTGGTGCACCCCTAGGATGCGGTATTTCCCTGAGCCTGGGACTCCTCCAAAGGCACGCCACTATTTCATGAGCCGCCAGGGAGAAGCCTGGCCCATTAACAATGTCACTGGACATAGCTGTGTGGCCCAAGGCCACACCAGGGACAGCGTGTAGCAGCCATTCTCCTAGAATGGCGAAGGCGAGCCTTATAGAAGCCAATGCCCAGCTGCACCCCAAACCCACCACGCATCACAGCAAAACCTGCTTTAGTTTAGGAGATGCAGCTCGCACCTAACATCTCCCAGCTTAAACAGAAACCAACACGAGGGCTGAGCCGTACATTCACCACCACCCAACAGCTTCGAGGCTTTTGTGCATGTGGTTTTCCTGCCACCTCTGAGACTGTGCTGCTATTCCCACCTGACAGCTTCAGAAACCCGGTGGGAGAAGGGTTAGGAGCCTCCCCTTTCTGAGAAGCAGGAGGGCCAGGGTTCACCCTGTGTGCTGACAGTGTAGCTCTGCGGTCCACGGCACCACTGGCCATGCCTCCTGGCTAATTTGGGGACACCGTGTGCCCACTCTAGGCCAGCAAATCCTGCCAGATGTGATCACGTGGAGCCAAGGATGTACCAAAGGGAGGCAGGAAGCTGTCCCCCAGGGCACTGGTTACTGTGATTAGCACGGGGAAAGAGAGTACAGTGCTGATGTCATGAAGCAGGTGATGCATGTGTGCCACCTCCTGAGGGCATAGCCATATGCAACGGAGGAGACTGGAGGCTCCATCCGACCTCCACGTGACTGAGGGGAGCATGAACGCCAGCATCTCAAAGGCCTCCCTCGCTGAGTAATTCCATTCAATTCATCGGGAGGTGGAGCGGGGGGGCAGAGAGGGTAAAGCTGGTGTCTAAAACCATCGAGTCTATCATTGTTCCTTTGTCCACATGTAGGCATCCATAGCCAGAGGTGGTGACATAATCCTGTAATCCCAGCACTCTGGGAGACCGAGGCAGGAGGATCCCAAGTTAAAAGACAATCTGGTCTAGCTATTGGCTTAGCCAGACCCTGTCTCAAAATAGAAAATAAAAGGCTGGGGATGTGGCTTAGTGCAAAGCAAAAAAGAAATTATGCCTTGAGCCAGAGGTGGTGACATAATCCTGTAATCCCAGCATTTGGGAGGCTGAGGCAGGAGGATCATTGGAAGTTTGAGACAAGCCTGGGCGATAAAGTGAGGCCAAAGCCAGCCTGAACTGCATAGCGAGACCCTGTCTCAAAAAAACAAAAAAAAACAAAAACAAACAAACAAACAAAAAAAGTTACACCTTGCCGCACCAATAGAAAAATTTGAGAAATAAATATAAATGACCGACCAATCCCATGGCTGTGGGTGGATTTTTAACTATCTTTTCATAGAATAGTTCAATTAAATTTGAGCTTTCTTTAGGAAGTAATTTTTCAGGTAATAATGCAGATAAAATGAGCTTTTGGTTCGTGATGAGTGAGGAAGTTCTGTTCTCTTTACCAAGCAGGTCGCTGTAGAAATTCACAGTCCCTGTTTTGGCAACAAAGTTAAAGTCCCAGTTTAGAGAAGGAGAAAGACAGCCCTGCCTGCTCGATTTCCATGATGCTAATTTATAGCATGCTTGACTGAAGACAGTGGACCCACGTTATTTTTCTTTATCTGTAAAACATTTGCTAAGTTTCTCTTGTAAACATTAATTGAATCACTGAAGCAGTGGGAGAATGAAAATGTTTTTCTTATTCTTCAAAGGAAATTAGTAGCACAAAATTATGTAATAGTTCCCAAATGTTCTGATGTATGCATTAATATAAAATCTTAAGTTAGAAAAGTACTTCAAAAGAACAGAGGTGGGGTTTTGGGGTTTTTGTTTTTTTAGTTTTTTGGTTTTTTGAGACAAGGTCTTGCTATGCAGTTCAGGCTGGCCTTGAGCTCACTTTGTAGCCCAGGCTGGTCTTGAACTTATACAAATCCTCCTGCCTCAGCCTCCTGCGTGCTGGGATTACAAGTGATTCAAATCTTCCACTAGTTGAAGGATTCTTTTCCAGGGTGAATACAATTAATTTATTGATGCTCTCTTCTGCTTCTTAATGTCAGTATTAGAGCTGGCCACATGGCAGTCACCCAACGACAAAGACACAGCATGGCTCTCAGAGCCACTCTTACGAGTCAGTGTTCATATTTGCATGTATTTATAAGAGGAAACCTAGAATAGTATGTAAGAAATTAGTAAAAGTGTAGTATGTAAAAAATTAGTAAAAGTAAAAAAGGAAGGCAGGTGATTGGATGGATGGGTATTTATTCTCTAACATATTTAATCTCGTTCCATATTACCCTCATCTGTGGATATAATTCCCTGTATCTCTTAAATTTGATATGAAAATTAAATGAAATTTTTAAAATGTCTTGCCTCATGGCAAGCCCCTGCAGAAACTCAACATTTCTTTTTTCCTTCTCCTGGAGGAGCAGCGATCAGTGGCTGTGAGACCTGCCTACTCGGGAGTGTACAGACAGGTCCCCCAAAGGCAGCCAGGGACACATTTTATACGTACAGTTTATCAAGACACAGCCACACTTGACTCTGTTCCACAAGTGCTTTGCTGCCTTGGCCACGGTGACAGGGTTAAGTTGCTGTCACCAGGATCGCAGGATCCAAGCCTGAGAGGTTCACTCTGGTCCTTCACAGGAGAAATCCAGGGTCCCCGGTCTAAGCCTCTCCCTGAGCCCAGGATGACAGGTCTCCTCAACTGGACCTGTCTCCCAGGCCCGTCGTGGCTGATGTGTGCCTTCTGTCCATCCTCCCACAGGTCTCCCAAAGGCTGCGACCATCAATCACCACCGCATCTGGCTTGCAACCGGCCTCAGCAAGGCCAGCGGGTTCTGCGGCGACGATGTGGTCTACACCACGCTGCCCCTGTACCATAGTGCCGCCCTCATGGTTGGCCTGCACGGCTGCATAGTGGCAGGTGAGCTCACCGGTGCCTCGCACCCCACCTGCTCCCAAGGAAGAGGGGTCAGAACTCGGCCACACTCTCGCCTGCTGGAGATGGCACTTCCTCCTGCGTTAATAACACAGCTGTCTCCCACAGCCAGGAGAGCTGGGCCTTTGAAATAATTTATTTTCATGCCTGATTTTTTAAAATAATACAATGTGATAATTATTCAGGATCCCTAAGATGAAATTCCTATAAAACATGTTATGCCTTTACCCAGGTGAAGACAGTGCCATGAGTAGATGCCAGGGTAATTTGTGATTTTAGATGCCATGAGTAATTTGTGAATAGAATTCATTTTAAAATTTCTGTGTCATCTTCTGTATCAGAAACTCGCAGGTCTGGTGTAAACTTCACCTGCTGTCCAGCGTCTCCATTCTGCCCTGCCCCATAGCCCCTCTGCTCTGGTCGGGTGATCTGATGGTCCCCTCCTGGGTCCCCATCTCGAACTGTCCACTCATCGGTGCTCACCATCCTGTGCCCCTCCAGGGATTTGCACAGCTTTTAGTCACAGAGACCCAGCCCCACAGCCGCATGCCCCAGGAAGTTCCCCTAACTCTTCGAAATAAGATTAAAAAAAACTTACCTTGTTTTCCCATGTGACATTTCAACTAAACATTTAAAAGGCACATGAAATGGTATGGAGCAGTGCACACACACTTGTACATAATGCATATGTGTGTTCTAGACTGAATGCTTGTGTTGACCCCAAAAAGTTTCTCTGCTGTTGCTATGACAACTTAGCTGTAGACTCAGTAGCTGCAGACAGCACAGATTTCCTCTTTTCTGTGTGGTAAGCAGATGTCCTCTCCTTCAGACACCTTCATGGCTCCACGGGGTGCACCCGGGTAATCGGGATGATCTTCCTGTCTCCAGACCCTTAACTTGGGTGCATCTATGCAATCTCTTTGGCCACAGAAGGCGGCATATTCACAGGTCCTGGCTACTGGGATGTGGACATCTTTGGGAAACATGATTCTGTCTGCCTCCTCCATGGCCATGCTCAGAGCCCTACCAGGCAACCTGGGCTTGGTCCACGCTTTTTCCTCTGCCTAGAATTCCCTCATCCTCTCCATGGTTGTGACTCAAATCCTTCCTTTACTAAAATATGCCCTTCTCAACCCTTACCCCCAAGAATTAATTCTCTCTCTCTCTCTCTCTCTCTCTCTCTCTCTCTCTCTCTCCATCTCTTTCTTCCTGTCTCTCTCCATATCATGTTCATTTTATGAATGGAATATAATATGTACTCAACATTTGTGAATAGAATTCATTTTAAAATTTCTACCTCTGAAAAATGACAAATGGAACTGGAAACATCTTTGGTAGCGTTCCTTGATCAACATGTTCTGTGCCTTTTCTGTAGGTGCTACAATGGTCTTGCGGAAGAAATTTTCAGCCAGCCAGTTTTGGGACGACTGCAGAAAATACGAGGTGACGGTCATTCAGTACATCGGCGAACTGCTCCGGTATCTGTGCAACACGCCCCCGGTAATGCAGCTTGCAGATTTATTATCTTTTAGAGATGGATAAATTGGGAGTTTAAGGAACTCGGGGTGGTGTGGGGATCAGCTGATTTGGATCTCGCAGTTTTCTGTTTGATCCGTATTTGTCGTGACAAAGTGCTTGTCCTCACGCCTACCTATGGATTTTATTGTGATCACTGTTCCCCGACTTGCTGCCTGTCTCCACGTCTTACCCTCTGCATAGAACATCTTCTTCCCTCTCGGCCCACGGAAAGCTGCTGTCAAAGGTGTGCTCAAATGATGGGATGGCTCGCACGTGAGACCTGACTGGTGCTCGCAGACCAAAGTCCTCGCTCCCTGCCTCACGCCATTGCATCCCCGCTGCACGTGGCTCACATGGCAGCTGTGTGTCTTTCCTCTCTCTTCCTCCCAAGACTGGGACTTTTTAAAATCAGGAACCACAGTCTATCCTTGTCCTTCCAGCTATCAAAGGCATGCAGGAAACTGCTACTTAATGTTTAGTGATTAAATCTCCATGTAGGTGCCTAAAAATAGGTCATTTAGGGATTTTTTTTTTTTTTTTTGGTTTTTTGAAACAAGGTCTCGCTCTATAGCCCAGGCTGGCCTTGAATTCACAGCAACCCTCCTGCCTCTGCTCCCATCCCAGCATAGGAAAGAATTATTGATTAGAACAAGAAATTGGTAAAACTGAGGGTTTCTCTTCTCCATTTGGGGACTGAGCTAGAGTAAGAATTGTAAATGAGGAGAGGAAGAAGAGGAAGGGAATCTACCTGAGTTCTGGCAACCACACATAGTGGTGGGGCCCCAGAATCCCAGCGCTCCTGGAGGCCAAGGCAGAAGGTTTACAAATTGAAGCCTGGACTTAGCCGCTTTAGCATGACCCTGCCTTTAAAAAAACAAACAAACAAAAAAAAACAGCCAGGGTTGTAACTTAGCGCCAAGTACCCCACTGAGAATACCCACACAACACACACAGACTTCTAGGAGCTACACATCTAAGCGATGCTATTTGCAAGGATGAAGAAGGTAAAGCAGAATCTAACAGCTGAACAGATCAGCGCCATCTGCCTTCCCTCCAAAGAGTGGTGACTCCATGTGCTGTCCAGTGAGTCCCCCGCTCAGGAGGAAACAGGATGCGGGGCCTGGCAGCACTGGGCTGACTGGAGGAGGAGAAGGAGAGCGAGAGGGGAGTCAGGACAGTTTGCCAGAGGAGGTGAGACTTGAAGTGGCCCAGGTGCCCATCAGTGGATAAGGAAAATGGGAACAGAACTGGGTGTGGTGGCTCACGCCTGTAATCCCAGCACTCGGGAGGCTGAGGTAGGAGGATCCTTGTGAGTTCGAGACCAGCCTAGGCTACAAAGTGAGCTCAAGGCCAGCCTGAACTGCACAGTGAGACTTTGTCTCAAAAAGACAAAAAAAAAAAGGAAAATGGGAACAGGTTCAGGAAAGAATGGGAGGCCACCATGAAGAAAACAAAGCCATGTCTTGCCTGAAGACAGATGTTAAGTGAAATGAGCCAGAGTGGGAAAGTTAAACACTGTAGGCTTTCTCTTCTAGTATTTTTTTTTTTTAATTTTTGAGACAGAGTCTCGCTGTGTAGCCCAGGTTGGCCTTGAATCTGTCCTCCTGCCTCAGCCACCCACATGCCAGGATTCCAGGCATACCCAGCTTGAGGAATCTTAAAAAGAGAGAGAAAGTTGATGAGAAAGTAGAAAGTAGACTGTTAGAGATGAGGAAGAGAATCAGAAATGGATAGCAGGGCACAGAGGATGAGAGCAATCAGATATGTTATGTACAGAGCCAGTGTGCCACAAAAAACCAATCATTCTGTATTACATGCTAAGAAAATTAAAAATTAAAATTTTAAAGCTCCGGTGGGCCATTTTCAAAGCTGATCACAAAGCTGAATTTATATTGTAGAATGCTGAGGTTTCATAAGAAAACAGAAATGATCCATAAAGAGATGATGTCCTGTAAACTTGATTACTATTGTAGCCATAATGATAATTTCCTTTGAGATTTCTGGAAATCAAGGACACAAATAAATATGATCCAATCTTGAAAAAAATTAAATTTTTTGGAAAACTTGGCCTCAGGAATTTTCTAAAATAGTGAAGACTTTTGGCAGTAACCCACAAACAAGGAAAACAAAAAAGGAAAAATAAACCACACCTGCTCCATGTGTGAGACGCTGAGAGACATCACAACCATGAACTCCAGGGTACAAAACACTGAAAGCCGGCAGGAACAGACACACTAGGACTGAGGAAGGCAAAACTCCAGAGAGGAGAGGCACGGTGAAATCTAAGGCTGGAGAGAGAAAGTGGGGAGGGAGGAGGGAGAAGAAGAGAGAGAGGGAGAAGGAGTGATTCTCTAAGAAAAATATTGGAAGTTGCCCACAGCAGTACATGCAAGGAGGAAAACAGAAGCAAAGGAGAGATACGTTGGGTTCTGAAGAAAAGTCACCTCCCATCTTGAATTCTATACCCAGCTATAGTAGCAACTCAACAACAGCAAAACTGACTAATACACATGCTGCTTCTGGATGTTACGACAGGAAGTGTCCCAGCCAAACAGGAGCGTGGAAACAGAAAGACACAGGAAAGAGACAGAGGGGAGCCCAGGCCTACAAAGCCACGTCCAGGAGCAGGACAAAGGGAAGCAGGTGGGGAAAAGGAAGGTGTGTGACACGGTGATTTCCTCCCGAGGGAAGCTGTGCTTTCAGGCCAATGGAGGCTGAGGAAAGACAAACAGAAATAAATAGGGGAAGCAAACAGGCAGGGAGGCAGCTCGTTCCAGGAAAAACAAACCAGTTCAGGAATGTACTTGTAGTGTGTTACTTGGTTCGTTGCCAGTATGTTATGGGCAAAGTAATATGAGCACTGGATGTTGATTTAACCAAAATTTGGGACCCTGGAAAACCAGACCAAGGGAGCACTAAATCCTGATCAAGCACAGTAGGAAATCTAAACTTGATGAATTAAGCAATAGCGGTGCATGCATTTAATTCAGAGACGTGAAGAGATCAGAAAACAATCCAGAGGTCGAAGTGGGGCTGTCTGAACCTCTAGTGGAGGGGCGGGCACTGGGCTCTTCAGTAAGAACCTTTGGGCACTGGTTCTTACACTGGGTGTTTCACTCTATTTCTCTCTCTTTTTTTTTTTTTTTTTTTTTACCAAGAAGATCACTGTCTGAAGTCAGGCAGGTCTGGATTTGAATCTCGAAGCAGTTGTTTTGCTGTCTTTGTGGTCTTGGGCTCATTTGTGAGCCTTCCAGGGCTCGGTTACCCCAGTGGTGACTGGAGGCCTATTGTAAGCGGCCACATCGGGATGAGCATTTGAGAAGCTTCAGGGAGACACACCAGGCCGCATCCTGGCACAAATGGCTGTAATCTCCTGGGCTCCTGCATCCCCCAGACACCCTGCCCTCCTGCCTCGTAATCATCCCTGAACCCAGTTACACCGCCAGGGTTGCACCTCAGCCAGAATGAGGACTGGGAACTTTGATCATTCTTAAAGAAAATGAGCAGGTGACCTTTGGCCTAATGCCTGTCCCTTGGAGGCATGGCTTTGGTGGCAGAGGAGCACAATGACCCCTAGGAAAGGAGAACCCCCTTCCCACTCCGCTCTTGGTCACCGGTGAGCCAAAGCAAAGGTGAGAACGGACACCTTAGAAGCGGGCAGGACCTCCTGCTTGTGTACCCAAACATTTCCAGCACACAGCCTTAATCCCTCTGCCAGGGGAATGAGATCCCTGGGCTGTGTGCTGAAAACTGACCCTGTGGTATTGTGAGGCTAAGCCAGCTACCCCCGCCCAGGATGAGAGCTGCACCTGTGACGCTGGCTGGCTGCCCACACACCCAGGGCACCTGTGCCTCCTGCATGCCTACTTAGCCCTGCCCTGTGCCCAGGGCTTTGCCCAGGGAAACGGAGGGCTTCCTGGCCGAGGCCAGCTGTTTTCCTGCAGGGAGTATGCTACATGCGAAGTCAGGATCTAGGCCCTGGGGGAAGCAGAGATGCAGTGATCTTGGAGGAGGGGAGAGGTGACCACTGGATGAGGAGAAAGCAAAGTGTGCAGGGAAGATGTCCTGTAGCATCATCTAGGTCCTGGGCTTACACATGGGGGTTTCTTCAGGGCTGCTCACGCCGGCTGGGAGCAGGAAGCTTGTAGATCAGGGGATTCCTTGAGGATACATCTGGTGGGCACCGGTCAGGGTCATCGGCACCACAGGCATGCGCTCTCTCCACAGCTGTATTTGGTCACAGGAAAGGGAACCCTTATTTCTTGACTGCTGGACCTGGGGAGTCCAGGTAGAGCACAGATCCCCACACGATCAGAATGTCCAGGCTCTTGCAGATTCAAAATGTTTCTCAGGTGATGCCCTCACCCTGACCCTGACTGAGGTCACTGGTCTCTCTGCACTGTCCCCTGTGAGGGACAGCTCAGGAGCCATCTCATCAGTGACCAGCGCTGTCCACCTGTCCAGTTAGAGCTCTGAACGTGCTTCTAGCATCCTCCAGGCCTGGTCCTGCAGCGGCTTCTGCAGGGAACCAAGCCCAGAGTTTGTCCAGCCTTGGTGTCCACTGCCACCTCAGTCCTTCTCCTCGGACCGCCAGCCACTCTTCAAATTGTTCTTTACAGAGAGTGACTCTACTCCAGAATCTCTTTCCTGTGACTCCACGGGGCAGGAAATCATGTGGACAACACCCAGTTGCATGGCCCAATTAACCAAAGTCGGGGCCTCCGGGAGCCAGTTGCTGGGGAGACAGCACGGGTCCTCACCCCACCTCTCTTGCTGTCATGAGCTTCCCGGTTCTTAGACTCAAAATAGCTTTTCCTTTGTGGTTTTTATTTGTAGCAATGCATCTTCCTCCCAGGCCACCTGAGCACCTGGGAGCCAGCTTCCTCCTCGTCTTCCCGCAGGGACAGCCTTGTTGGTGACCTCGGGGTGCACCTGGGGGTGTGGCTCTGGCTCTTCTCTTGGGTCCCTCCTGCCTTAACCTTGTTGCTCATACTGGCTCTGTGCAACAGCTCCTCTCACTCCTCTCACTGGACCGCGTTCCTGCTCATCTTCCTCTCCCAAGTGAAAGTTTCTGCCAAGCAGGGGAAGCGCTCCCCAAGGTCCTGCTAGGAACAAGGTGTCTGCCTCAGACAGACTGCCCTGCCCCTTCTGTCTAGCAGCTCAAGACAGACACCAGCCTGCACTGAGGAAGAGACGGACACCTGATCCTAGATCACTGTTGGGTGTGGGTTCATGGCTGGCGGCATCTGGTTCTGCCCAGTTGCCTAGTGTTGCTCCTAAAAGTCAAATGGGGCCCAGAAAGTAGATGGGAGCCTCTTAGAGATGAGAAGGGGGAAAAGAGGTTCTGGAGGGTACAAAGAATCAAAGTGTGTTTCATACACATGTAAATATGCCAAGCCAAAACCTACGATTCTGTATATCTAACATGCACTGATAATTTTAAAAGTCAAATTAAAAAGATACAAATGAGTCAGGCATGGTGGCACAGGCCTATAATCCTAGCACGTGGGAGGCTGAGGCAGGAGGAGCATTGAAAGTTCAAGACCAGCCTGGGCTACAAAGTGAGTTCAAGGCCAGCCTGAACTGCACAGGGACACCGTGTCTCTCAAAAAGAAAAAGAAAAAAAAGGTAAAAACGGAGAACCAAGTCTTTGAGTTATGAGGTCAGAGTTCTAGGGGTCAGACCGTAACGCTGTTTCAGAGAAGAGGAGATGGTACTTGGGTAAGGTGGAAAAGGCACCGTGGTGAGTTGGTAACAAACATAAATAAAAGCACCTGAGCTGAGTGTGGTGGCTCGTGTCTGTAATCCCAGTGCTCTGAGAGGGAGGCTGAGGCAGAAAGGTCAAGAATTTGAGCCCATTGAGCTGGGCAACTTAGCATCAAGACTGAAGGCAACTATTAGTGTCAATTAAATATGAAGGAACAAAGGTGGTCATTAATATACAATCAGTGATTGCTAAGTGAGCACCTTTTCCTCTCGCCACAGAAACCCAATGATCGGGACCATAAAGTGAGGATGGCGCTAGGCAACGGCCTGCGAGGAGATGTGTGGAGAGAATTTATCAACCGGTTTGGCGACATCCAAATCTACGAGTTCTACGCGTCCACGGAAGGCAACGTGGGCTTCCTGAATTACCCTCGGAAGATCGGCGCCGTGGGGAGAGTAAACTACCTGCAAAGAGTTAAGTGGACCTGGAAATGGTTTCTGGAGCACCGGGACTTCTGAGAGGCTGTGTCCTGATGCTGCCATCATCAGAGTCTCAGGCAGCATCATCTGGGTCCCCTCTGTCACCATGAAAGGCTTTGCTCTTTCTGGGCGACGATGACCTCACAAAGGTCGTCTCAATTAAAACAACTCAGTTTCTACTACTAACAAACCCTCAATCCTTTGCCATCTGCGACCATGTGACGTCCTCCTGATGCTGTTTATACCTGGCGAGATAAAACCGGGAGCTGCCGCCTCCTGAGTTCACTAAACCCTGTGAAGCCGGACTACCAGGAAGGGTGCGGCCTCGCCCGAGCTATGGGTGCCCTTGTTCTGAGGTTGGGCACAGCTGTGGTCTAAGAGCAGTGCAGACCTGAGACCCAGTTTTTACAAAGTGTGGTCAAAAAATACAGTGCTATGAATTTTTAAATTGTATGACATTAAAAGACAGCTTGCCACGCATCTGCCTTTATAAAATATCCGCCCCTTTGCTCCAAACACACCTGTCCCATCGCCCATGCCCCTTTCTGCAGCAAGTCTGGGAGTCCTCTTCCCTGAAGGTCCATAGCTGACAATCATGGCTGCCTTGATGTCCTCAGCAGATTAAAAATGCTGACCTTTCATGGTCAACATTTTTGTGGTCAACATTTTCGTGGCACAGTGTGAGACCCAGCGAGTGAAAAGGCTAAGGACACACTATAACGTCTTATAAACCAGCCCTTCCCTTGGATGGCACTGGCAGCTACATTCACCATATTTTTTATTACAGCAGCTAAAGACACCCAGGAAACTTTGCCATTCTTCCAAATAATTTTTAAAAATCTATATATGTTTTTCTTTTTTGTTACTGGGAATCGAACTCAGGACCTTGCACTTAACCAAGCAGGCACTTGTGCCACTGAGCTACATCCCCAGCCACGTAAAAAGCTATATTTGTTGACTGCTTTTTTTAAATGACATCATTTGCTCCTACTAAAGTGTATGATTGGTTACTTGATCCCATAGCTTTGGGTGTAAGTTTGAAATGCGCACAGTAATCATGGCTAACCATTACATACAAGGACAGCTGTACCTGCAAGCTTTCTATTAGCAGGGAAAATAATACACTTAGTATTACTCTTACAGAATTATTTACATTTACATCAATGACATAAATTCCTATGCCACTGAATTGTTTATAACTAGGATAGAGTTTTAATAATTTTATAGTCAAGGGCCTAAAATAATTTTACCTTTGATCCTTAAATACATTGAATAGTATCATGTCCCTGGCAGTGTGAAGTATCTAATGGTAGCACAGGAATATAGTTATACAGGATTTTGAAAACCCATTCATGATGTGTCCACAAAAGACACATATCTAATAATATTCCTAATAGCAGTCTAAAGACCTAATAGCAATCAAAAGCAGAAATAATCCCAGGATCCATTAATATGAGAATAAATAAGTTGTAGTATGTTTACCCATTAATAGAAGTATAAGGAAGTTATAGTATATTTACTCAAGGGAAGACTAAACAGCAGTACACATGGATCATGGGGGTTAAAGATGACAGCTGGGTGGTAGAGCACTTGCCTAGAATAACGAGGCCCTGAGATCAATCCCCAGAACTGCAAAAAGGGATTTAAAAAAAGAAAATAGAAAAACACTAATAGGAAGGCTGGTATAGAGTGACTATTCACATACACCTGACGGAGGAAGCAGAAATACAAGCATGCACTTGTATCATTTATTTGAGGTTTAAAATTAGGAGTAACGGAAGTCAGAATGCTGGTTAGCTTCACAAAAAGGAGTTGGAGGAACGCAAAATGCAAATGTTTTCCATCTTAATCACAGCGGTAATCCCATAGGTTTATAAAAAGGCAAGGTGTCATTAAGCTGTGGGCTTAAGACATGCGTGCTTTCTGTACATAGTGAAGTTATAAAAAGCGCGAAGATTTGTACTCATGATGATGCATTTTAATTTTGTCAGAAAGCCGTACGTTTTGAGTTGATTAAATACGACGTGGAAAAAGACGAGCCTGTTCGCGACGAAAACGGCTTTTGCATCAAAGTTCCCAGAGGTACGGAGGACTTCTTGTTCTGTTAACTCGTTAGTATCCTTATCCTGCCCAGGTGACTTTTAAGGACCAACATGTAACTACCACAGTATGGGAAAAAAAAAGTGCATGTGAGTATCCTCAAAAAACAGTTGCAGAAATTCCGGGAGGTGCTAACTGACCACTAACTAAAGCCGAATGATCATTTTGCTGCTAGCTTCACAACTTACTTCTGGGGGGGTGTTTTATGGGAAAAAATAGGGAGCCGTGATTACAAAACTAAGCTTGAAGTGGTCTTTTTACCTTTGATTTTAACTTCACTGTTTTTTTCTAGCTTTGTGTATAAATCAGCCAGTAAAAAATTAGTGTGAAAATAATTACACCTGTGGTCATACAGAAGCATGTTCAGTGTCTGTGTGTGTCTGATACACATGTATGCACACCTAGGTGATCTGTGTGAATATGTGCGTGAAAAAAATACCTTCTGCAACCAGTAGGTTGGAGGCCATCAGTTATAAGGAAAGGTTGATAATAAAATTTGCTTACCTCAGGCACACAAAGTAGTAATTTCCTTTCCCGTGTCTTAGGTGAAGTTGGACTCCTGGTTGGTAAAATCACGCAACTGACACCATTTAATGGCTATGCTGGAGGAAAGAGCCAGACAGAGAAGAAGAAGCTGAGAGACGTGTTCAAGAAAGGCGACGTCTATTTCAACAGCGGAGACCTCTTAATGATCGACCATGAAAATTTTATCTACTTCCATGACAGAGTGGGAGATACCTTCCGGTTGGTTTCTCTATGAGTCTTGAACCCCAGACAAATCCATGCATAACTTGGCTTGCTCCTGAATGGGAACCCCATTCCACATGGGCTGAGGTGCCTCATGCCCTCTGATCTTTGGGGCATCAGTCCCACCTCCTGGATCCCAGAGCATAAGTGTCAGTTGAGGGACGCATTTAATGTGGCTGAGCCACATTGGACAAGACTGAGGCAGGAAACTTAGGTCTTATTTTGTGGAGCTTGAAATCCATCCAGCTGCTCTCAGTGGTCCTTTATTACTGAACACTCTTAGGAGAGTAGGGATTGTCATGTTTCTAGAAGGTGGCTTCTCTTTAGATAAAACCAAATGTGAACATGGAGCTAAAGAGGAGGTTGGAGAGGAGGTAAATAATGCAGAGCTTGTCTCCTCCCCTCCCTTCCTCTTATCTTCCACCAAATGCCTCCTCCACCACCACCACCACCACCTCCCACCCCGCCCTCCACTCCCACGCCCCCCAGCCCTATCCCTTCCCCACCCCCCACCCCCCACCACCCCCACCCCCACAGAATCCCCAGGTCAGTGCCAGAAGTTGGAAAGTGGTCTTAACAGGCTGTGAAGCAAATCCCCATCAGTGTCACAATCATGGCCAGCCTGCCCTCTCGGAGGACTAGGAGGAGTACGGGCAGTCCTTCAGCTGCTGGTCCACCTTCACACCTAGCACAGTGCCTGCCCCAGTAGTTGGTTTTGACCTGAAGCAAGGAAGAAGGGACGGAAGTTATCTAACAATAGAAAGATGGTGTTGAAGGAGGAGAACCAGCTCCCAGCTCCTCCTCCAGCCCTGCCCAGCAGGGCTAGGGTTCTAAGGAAAGGCTCCTGACCTCACCTCTTGCCTCCCACTTCCTAAGGCTCCTGAAGACCCTTGGGGCACCTGCGTCCCTAACTGCCCAGGACTTAGGGTCCCCGTCATTATTTTATGCCACCTTCGTGGTATTAAGAAGATACTTTTGGGAGAGCTAAAGAATTTTTTATATAAAATAAAATTCAAGATCTGGGGATTTAGCTCAGTGGCATAAGCGCCTGCCTGGCTAGAGTGAGCTTGTGAGTTCAATCCCTGATACCAGAAATAAATAAATAAATAAATAAATAAATAAATAAATAAATAAATAAAAAATAAAATGAAATTCAACTCTTTAGTAGGTAAAGAATAGCTCATGGGGGGTCTTAACATTAACATTACCAAAAAGTCTGAATTTTTTCCTTTTTAACTAAAAGATGTAGGACTGTGGGTTTACCTTCATCGGCACAAGCACCTACCTGGCAAGCGCAAGGTCGTGAGTTCGATCCCCAGCACCAAAACAAAGCTGTCTTAGTGCCACAAGACCTTAAAGTACAACGAAATTCTATTAAATAGCAGTTTCACAAGTGAATTAAGTAGAGGCTTGTTAGTAGATGAGAAAAGTGAGAGTGGATGTGGAGTATCCCGGAGTTCTGGTGCCTTTCTTAGCCGAGGCTGCATCTTCATATGAGAACACAGTTCTATCCTTCATGTTTCCTGTAGCAAGACTGAACTCCCACGCTTTATTTCCTGAGTCTGTGCTTTTACGTCTGGCACCCACGGCAGAATGTCGTGACTCAGTTGGGGGGCTCAGGAGGCTAGAAGCAGCACTTGAGACTGGTCCACCACCCCGAGAAGATGGGAGGGGATCAGTGCTGTCTGCCCACTGCAGCCTGGCCCGCAAGGACTAGTGACCTCTGCTTCCCTTCCAGGTGGAAAGGGGAGAACGTAGCCACCACCGAAGTTGCCGACATCATGGGCCTGGTTGAGTTCATCCAGGAGGTGAATGTGTACGGCGTGCCCGTGCCCGGTATGTGCAGACATGAACCTATATCTGGCGCCAGCTGCTGAACATCATTGTAACCCCAGTGGGGTGACTCTTGTCACTGTGTTCTCCCCCAGAGGGAGGATTCAGCAACTTGGCCAGCCACTGGGGAGTGGGGGCTCGGGTCTGCTTTGTGTTCTGTTGTGATAGCCCCTGGGGCTCCCTAAGTCCCTTGGGCACATCTACACACCTGGACAAAGATGTGCCAAGCCAGGCATGGTGACTCACGCTTGCAAGTAAACCCAGTGCTGAGAGGCTGAGGCAGTTCAAGGCCAGCCTGGGCTACAGAACGAGTTCAAGTTCCAGCCTAAACTACATAGCCAGACTCCATCTCAAAAAAAATATATATAGAAATCCAAAATTCTCCTTTTTCACATAAAAATATTCATTATTTTCACTGTCCAATACGGCCGCAAATAGCCACCATGTGGCTACTGACACTGGAAGTGTGGCTAATGCCGCTGAGGGGTTGGAGTTTTCATTTTAGTTTATGTCATGTCTGGTCTTAACAGCCACCATAACCAGTGGCCACCATATTGGATGGAGAACCTATGGCCAGAAGTGATCTCTAGACCACAGGTGCTGGGAACTGAAACCTTCCTCCTAGATCTGCACAATCCTAAACCAACCTCTGGGAGGTGGAGCAGAGGCCTGAGACCAACAGGCCCACCTGCCCCTCTGTCAGCATTGCCACTAGCAGGACAGGAAGCACAGAGCAGGTCAGTGTGAAAGAGTTCTGTCAGGTCCACTGCAGCCTTCATTCATGACTTGGGAGCCAGGGCCCAGGAACCCTCCCGGGAAAGAGGATCTGCTTTCCTCTTTCAAATAGGAAGCAAACCAAGTGAGGCAGCCACTCTTAAAATGTTTTCCTTTTGTGTTTTGCCTTCCTTACAGCTGTAGAAAAACACACTAAACACACGGTCCCCCAGGGAGATATGTGGGGCCCAGGTGACCAAGACAGCTCCCGCCTCCTCTCTGATTACAGCTAAAATAGTACAGGGAAGTGGCACCTCATTACTGCTGTCCTCACAAGAAAACAAGGGTCATTGTTCTCAAGCCTTCTCCACTAACACTCGGTGGTTGTGAGGACCTTTGTTTTCTCTGCAGTGCTCATTTCTTTAGAGAAGACCTTAGGCAGAACCAGGAATGGGAAGGGCACCCAACACCTCCAACCTGCGCCTGGCACCCTGCACCCCCAGCCCACAGCCTCTGTGCCGTGCAGACAAGTGAAGCTATTAGGAGCCTTGATCACTGCTGGGGATTTAGCTCAGTGGCATAAGCACCTGCCTTGCAAGCAGGCGGTCGTGAGTTCGATCCCCGGTACCGATTTTTAAAAAATAAATAAAAAATAAAGGGGGCTGGGGATTTAGCTCAGCGGCATAAACGCCTGCCTTGCAAGCAGGCAGTCGTGAGTTCGATCCCCGGGACCGATAAAAAGGAAAAAGACAAAAAATAAAAATAAAAAAGGAGCCTTGATCACATAAGTCTCCAAGGTGGTGTTTGTGCCTGGAGACCCAATAGACTGACCTTGACGACTAAAGGGGATCCTGAGCCCCACTCTTCGTAACAGGCAGCAAGGACTTTCCAGTGGAATCCAGGAAAAAACTCCCTGGTCACAGTCAGTCTTGCATCCTACTACTGCTGTCACTGTGGGCGCCACTGAGAAGGATGCTGGCATCACAGAAGATGGGCTCAGTCCCATTCCTGGTGTTGGCTGCTTGACCTTGGATCAGTTTCTTAATGCCTTTATGTTTCTTTCTTCATCTGTAAGATGAAGATGTCTTTTGTACCTCTTCGGAAGGTCACTGTGAAGATTAAAGGAAACACATCTCGTATGAGCCTGGCACATATTAAAGACTCAGGCAATGTGTAGCTATCATTATTATTATCATTAGTATAACTTAGAATAACTCCTTAGAATAACTTAATATGGGGCTGGGGATTTAGTTCAGTGGCATAAGTGCCTGCCTTGCAAGCGCGTGATCGTGAGTTCGATCCGTTCCCAGTAAGAAAAAAAAGAATAGCTTAATATATATTTAATGTTTTTTTTTTTTTTTTCTGAGAGGGAGAGAGGATCATAGGTAGTCTATGCCCATCTAGAACTCACTATGTGGCTCAGGCCGGCCTGCAACCCTCTGTGATCCTCCTGCCTCAGCCTGGTGGGATTATAGGCGTGTGCCACCACGCCAGTAACATATATTTGAAATAAAAAATGCAGCTATCCCAAAGAAATGCATGTTAATGTCACAAAGCCTCAGGCAGTAAACAAACAGCCAAACCCATCTCCAGTTTTCTCATTTTATTCCCAGGTCATGAGGGTCGAGTTGGCATGGCCTCTATCAAGATGAAAGAAAACCATGAATTTGACGGAAAGAAACTCTTTCAGCACGTGACCGATTTCCTGCCATCCTATGCCCGGCCGCGCTTTCTGCGAATACAGGTGAGACCCTCTATCAGTGTCATTTGCTTCTCTCAGAGACCCTGGTCTCTGAGCAGGCAGTCCCCTTCCTCTCGTGGTGACTTTTACCAAATTTTCACAACCTTTTCAGGAAGCTCAGAAAGAAGCATTGTGTTTACATAAGAAAGCAAAAAATATCAGGAAAGACAACACACAGAAACCCAACCCTAATCCCTTTCTCTCTAAGGTGACAGGCTGGCTTATTCAACGATAGTCTTAGCAAATAACTCACAAAACTGTGTTTGATGGGGTCTGACACTTCCAATAGAAATACTCTAGCTTTCCTCGTTGTCCTTTCAATTGAGAGACTACAGAAACTACAGCAGACCTTCACCTTTCCGAGGGTAAAATTTAACTGGGCATCGCTAGCCCAGAAGTATCACTGCTGAAGGAGTTTTTGTTTTAATTTCTCCAACTTCAGCCCTTTTGTTGACTCAGCATCCTGATTTTTGGGTTCGTTTGTTTTTTGTCTTTTGAGACAGAGTTCCACTATTCAGTTCAGGCTGCCCTTGAAATCACTTCAGAGCCAGGGCTGGCCTTGAACTCACCGCAGTCCTCTACCTCCGCCTCCAGGTGCTGGGATTACAGGCCTGTGCCACCACGCCCAGCAACATTCTGATTTTTGGATTTGGAGGCTCTGTGATTTTATAACCAAAGGCCTGAGAAAAAGCAGTCATGGGCTTCTCAGTCCAGCTGAGAGTGTAGGGTTCTTTCTATTGATGTTCATAAAGCACTTAGTAACCAGATGCCAAAGAGACGTGACAGAGAGATATCTCCAGGTATCTTGGTGAGCACAGAATTGCAGGTGAAAGATCCTTTCGCTGCCACCACCCCCCATTAGCCAAGAGGTTCCCACAGCATTGCCACCCCTCTGCTAGGAAAACCATCCCGGGCTGGCAGCCCTGCACCTAATGCCACCTTGTGAGCGTCTGGAAACAGGCTGTTGAATATCAAAAACACTTCCACTCCCAGCTCTCCCAGGACCCAGAAATACCAGTGAGTCCCCACACCCCTGCACCCAACCCCTGCACCTCGTCTATTGCAAAACTTACCCACAGTGCGGGCTTCTCTTTTCCAGAACACCATTGAGATCACGGGGACTTTCAAACACCGCAAAGTGACTCTCATGGAGGAGGGCTTTAACCCCTCTGTCATCAAAGATGCCATGTACTTTATGGATGACACAGCAAAGACGTATGTGCCTATGACTGAGGACATTTATAATGCCATCAGCAACAAGACCATGAAGCTGTGAGCCTTCCTGGGAGGAGAGTGCCCATTTCCAGAGGAAAGCTGAGTGGACCGAGGGCAGCCACCTCATACAACCCAACTTTAATTCGATTGGAGATGATGAGGGACAATTTTTTTAGGAAATTATGCATGCCAGCAAGGGGAGAGTTTTTTGGGTTTTTTTAAATTACATCTCAACTTTTACAAGTGAAAAAGATTTAGAGATTTAGAGATAATTATTTTTTCAATATGCACCTACCATTTGTATTTGCCAACTGGCCTCATTTTTTTTTAATAGATAATAAAGTAGACAAACACCAACACGTAAAATGGCACCGTCTCAGTTACTACACAGCCTCATTGGGAACTTGTCACCGGGTCCCACGGGCAGTGGTGTGGGCTAGAAAGGGCAGAGGAGGGGGAGGCGGGCCAGCAGTGGGTGATCCCTCAGGAAGGAGACCAGCTTCAGTCGAAGGAAGCCGGGTCTCCACCCTAAGGCATCCTCGCTCCTGGGTACAAGCTCAGCCATTATTCAAGAGGTGGCAGTGCCATCTGTAGTTCCTGAAGGAACCCAAGTCTTCTGTTTCTGTGTTCTCTACACACACAGAAAAGGTGTTCAGGATTTTTAGCTACACCAGGGGTCGCCAGCCCAATGTGTCTTCAGCATTCACATGAGGAATGAGACAAAGGGTCTCAAGCGAGTGCTGGGGACAGCCACTGCTCAGCTTCCATCAGCTCATTCTTGTCCCTTGGGAACACAGGTCAGTTCTGCTGGGGTCCCCTAATTATTCAGAAAACAGATCCAGATCTTTATGTCCTCTCCCAGTTTTCGAAACTTCCATGAATCTCAAACAAAGCGTATCTGTGGACAGATGAGTCCCCAGCTCTCCAGGAAGCATCTCACTCGCAGATGCATGAAGAATTAGGGTCCCAAGAAGGAGCTAGTTTCACCCTCACCAGCCTTCTGCCCATCAACCCTGTTAGAGGACCTGGGACCCTTGGATGTAGCATGAGAGTTTTGGGGACCTTCTGAGGACCTCCTCCAGACGAGCTTCCTCCTTACCCTCAGCTGCCCCCCATTATGGCCTAGATCTAGAATGCCCCCCAAAAGCCTCATGTGTTCAGAGGCAGGGCTTTCAGAAGGCAGTTGGATCTTGGGGGCGCCATAGCTGAACATGCTGCTAGGAGATAGGGCCTGGTTGGGGATGGTCACTGGGCCTAGAAAGACAGCTCCCCCACCCACCCAACCCCAGCTCTTACACTCTGCTCCCGGCCACCTCACTGGGAGCAGCCATCCTCTGCCAAACTCTTCCTCCATGTCCTTCCTGCCCAAGGCTCCCACAATGAGCCAAAGTAAACATCTCCTACTGTCAGTGTCCAGTATTTTGTGCCAGCAATGAGAAAGCAACCACGATGCTGTCTTTCCCGCATACAACGCCCGATTGCTGCAGTGATCAGCTGCCACCATTCCGGAAGCTGGTCCTTGGGGCAAGCTCTCCAGAGGGCATGGCCTTAGCTAGAGCTGGTGTCAGGAGGTTACGGTCATAGTCCTCATCCAGAAAAAGACAGGTCACCCCATGTCCCCAGGCTCCACAGAGATCACTCGGGTGACTAGGAGCTGGCTGGGAGCCCAGTCTGCTGGGGATCCTCGATGACACATGACAAGTATGGTCCACCGACCCATCTCCCCGTATAGTACTAGAAATACCTTCCAACTCCTCCACCCCTCCAGCTGACTTCTACAAAGACCAGAATCCCCATCCTCCTTAGGATGCTCAAAATGAACATTTCCTGATAGGCAAAGGACCTTGAGGGTGACCCACAGAAAACCCGGATAAGCAAATGCTTCCACTAGGTCACAATGATTCTTGCTTCTGTGTCGGCCCCTGGGAATTTTTTTTTTTTTTGCAAATTCTCTCTGCCCCTGATTTACTGATATCCCAGTGAGGATTCGAACTCAAGTGACAGAGGTTTCACAGCCTGTGTTTATGGGACTCTCACATGGTGCTTTTGTTTTACTCGGGATCTTTCCAAGTAGTAGAAGAGCTTGGCAGCAGCAACATCTTGCCAGGTTGCAAGGGCCATCTTTTGGAGTAAGAGTCAGCACTTACACCGTTAGCCAAAACGTTGGGGCTCTGACCTCCTGTCACCTGTCTCGAGTCATGCAATTACAGTAGAAAGTCAGATCTGTGGCCCCACGCCGCCCCACCCCCTGCCCAGCTCTGACTCTTGTCCTATTCCGCCCTCAGCCTCCCATGCCTCTAAGCCACCGATTGCTGGGTTTGTGTGTGAAACAAAATCAGGACGCCACCCAGGAGAAGTGACTAACTCTCAAGACCAATTCCCACCAGGTGCTTAGATGGCGCAACTGGTAACTCAATTCTTCAGAGCTGAACCCTCACATCTCACTTGAGGTTCAGCTCTGAGATCAAAGAGGCTTCCAGGGCAGGCACAGTAACTGCCCAGCATAAAGAAGGAACTCTTTGTTCTCAGATATGCCCATCAATTACCATATCTATTCCTCTGAGACACACATGTACACGTACAGACACACACACACACACACACACACACACACACACACACACACAATGTAATTTGCTGTAGCAGAACCAGAGCAATCCTGGAGAGCCTCTAGTCCCACCTCTTTATTTGATTAAAGGAAACCATGGAGCCCTGAGGCTGAGTGATTTCCCCAAAGTCGCCCAGTGAATTGACAGCACCGAGCTCCCCACCCCCAATACAGGAAGAAAGCATCTTCATGAACCAGGGGTTCCGGGTGTGACCCAGGGTCAGCAGGGCCCCTAATGTTGAAGACATGCACAGTTTTGGGCTCCACCCCAACCCTCTGATTCAGAAGCTTGGCAATTGCTTTAGGCAGCAAGGCTTCCTTGCTGCTGATGCTGCCTCTGCAGAACCTCTCAACCTGCCTGCATCACCATCATCAGAGCCAACCACATTTCCAACCATATTTGCTGCTGTGAGAGCAAGGGAATCTAACATTGGGGTCCCTCATGCTGCCAGAACCCCAGAGGAGCTGGGCATGGTGACCCATGTCTGTAATCCCACCTATCGGGAGCCCAAGGCAGGACAAGTTCAAGGCCAGCTGGACTACACAGCAAGACCCTGACTCAAAAACAACAGCAATAGCAACAAAACAAGCGCTGGCTCACCCAGCTAGCCTGGGCTGAGCATGGTGGTGCACGCCTGTAATCCCAGCATTTGGGAGGCTGAGGCAAGAGGATCACTTCAAGTTCGAGACCAACCTGGGCTACAAAGTGAGCCCAAGGCCAGCCTGAACTGCATAGCAAGAGCCTGTGTCAAAAAGACAAGAAAAAAAAAAAAAAAAAACTAGCCCAAGATTTCTAAAATAGGAAGTCAGAATCTGTAAATCACAGGTATTTAAACTCCAGGACACACCCTGGTTAATCAAGGATCAATGAAGTCACACAAATAAGGATGCATTGGTTCAGGAACAAGCACAATTTATTTCTATGTTATATTTCACACCACAAGCTGAACCACAGATGCTGCTCATCAGTGTGCTGTCCCCGGCCCTTGCTGCTGAGAAGCTTCTGGAACCTTCTGGATCATTCTGTCTTAAACTCTCCACTTGTATCCTATGGTGGGTCATGAACCCTGTGAGAAACTGACCAAAATTATGGACTCATTGGCAAGAAAAATGCACATGCACATAAGCACACAGACTCTGCAGACAATTATGAGGGGTTCCTCGACTCCCTGAAGCACACATCCTTGGACTCTCTGAAGATCCTCCTGGCCTACACCATGGCCTGCAGAGGGCAGCAGGGCAGCTGGAGCCCACACTGCGAGCTGCATTCAGGGAAGCTGGGGACACTGTAGAACTTGATCAGCTTTTTGAAGGCACTTTTCTTCAGTATCATCATCTCTTCTGGGAACCTGGAGAACAGCCTGACCCGGGAGGTTCCGCCATTCTTGGCCGAGCCCTCGGCAGGGAACAGCTTCTGGGCACTCACAGGCACACTGTTGCAACTGAGGGACCGAACCGTCTTCTTCTTATGCTGCACAGACAGATAACTGAACAGGAAAGAGGAGAGCTTGTGCTTGGAGACATCTGGGGCCTCTTCTGAAAAGCAGTCATCCAGTGGGTCTGCCAGGGTTTCAAGATGGCAGCCATCTTCCCTCCTCACAGGAATGGTGCCCATACGCTGTGGCTGCTTGATGATCTTCCGGGCCTGTGCTGGGTCATCTCCTCCTCCATGGACAGGGGGAAGGGGCATTCCACCAGCCAAGGTTCGGTAGCCTCTGGTTTGAGGGCTTGGCTGGGAAGTACAGTGCTGACTGAGGACCAGAGTGGCAGCATCTCGAATGAGATTCCAGTCTCTCAGGATGTCATCCCTGGTAGTGAACTGGGATGTCACTGTGAAACGAATTATCAGCTTGTTTTGGATGGTGGCCGGGATGAGGAAGAGTCGGCCATCTTTGGCTATTTCCTTTAACACACTTTCTGTGAGACAATTGGGACCCTGTTTGAAGGATAAAGAGAAGTGAAGTCTACACCGCAACTCCTGCAAGCATCCCTAGAGTCCCAGAATTTGTGTGTCCAAGTGACTCAGCAACCACTCAGCCACTCTGGAACACCAGACAACACCAGTCACAGAGACCACAGAAGATGGCATTACCTTTAGACGAAAAACCACCAGGCCAAGGTGCCTCTTGGCAGGAATTTCAAAGAAAGGATCATTTCTGACCAAGGATTCAAATATCTTCGCCATTTCAATACCCTGAGATTGTAAACATAGAAAACACAGATTAGCAATCAAACAAGGGACAAGCTGTGCATAAACTTTCACACATGGAATGGTTTAAACCAGGGACACCGTGAACCATGTAGACCTGATAGGCTTTGGCCTTCCCATCCTCTCCATTTATTTGATTTTGCTCCTATTCCTAACTGGACAACTTCCACCGGCTCCCTATTTCCTGTCACATCAGACAACTGTACCTCAGGGCAGTTTCACCTCACTCCAGGATCCAGAAGCCATGTGCTTTGTGATTCAGGCAACCTGGACTTCTGTCCTGGTTTCACGGTTTCTCAAGGGGTCAAGTGAGGGCCCAAAGGAGGCCTACACTCCTCATCCTCCATATCAGGTGCCTCACACAGGCAGCGTCTGCCAGGAGGAAGACACCATCCAGGCACTGAATGGACGGACAACCACCAGGCCCCATCCTATGCTGCATGTTCCCTTTCTTCTTCAGCATCTTTGCCTCTTGCTCCTTGAATGCCCTTTCACACCATTTGCCCTGACATTCCACAGAGAACACATTTCACGTACCACTCCCATGCC